CAGGAAATCGTATCAGTTGTACTTTCAAACAAAGCTGTGTGATATTTATCCACAGTGTGGACGAATTTATGCGCAAATGGCACGCAGGTTTATTTGTCTATCCTATGCTGCCGGTTGACGTCATTTAAGGTGCCATTTTTCCATTGGAAAGTTTCGAAGGAAATTTGATACACGAATCTTGCCCGAGAAGACCATGAATCAATACATTTCCACAAAAGAAGTCTATTAGGAACCATCATCATCACCCCTAAAGAAAATGCCTCCCTGCATTCCTCGAAGGATTGCAGTTGTTGCACCAAACCATCACGGCTGACCCCAGTCCGAAAGTGTACCCAATTCGAAATGTCTGTGCTCTGATTATGCGGTGAATGGATACGTACACGGATACGCTCATGGAGTACATGGAGTAAAAGCTGTGGTACTTTATGAGTGAAAACAGTTCGACGTTCAAAACTCGGAGCCTGATTCCAATTAGACCTGATTCAATCAGGAATAATACAAGTCAGGTTGTTATGTGAACATTTGGATATTTTTTTTTGTTTCTCAAGCGCAGGGAGGATAGTTCTCCGCACCCTCAGGGTCACACTTTCTATGAGAATGCAGTTCAACAAAGCCATGATCAAAATCATTTTTATTTCTTCATTCGCGTATGAATTGTCTCATCCTCGTACGACATTTACTCTACCCGGGTGGTTCGGTTTCTGGGAGTTTTCGGAAACACAGGACGAGGTTATCAGCATTTTGTACACAATACTTACAACTGCGGGACCGAGGTGTCGGTTCAGAATATGTGCAAACTCAGACTCTACCTTTTATATAATCCAATAGAATCTTTAGGGTTATATCCAGGCCAGATGCTTCCTGTAAAAGTTGAGCGACCTATTGCAATCCCCCTGTAAAAATTAATAGCTCAATATCGATTGACCGCTTAGCAACAAACATACCTAAGGGATAGATTAGATAGATAGGTAGATATATACAACGAATACCAGTAAGTAAGCGGCTAATTGGAGGGTTGCGCCTGTTGCGACACTAAATGCTCCGTGACCGCCAGTGAATGCGGTGTCTGATCCTGCATGATCCTATTTATTTGGGATGTACTTACTCCAGGTAAGTTGGCATGCTACACGCGCTGAGTATATGGTGCGGGAGATGTGACTGCTGGGGCGCGATGTACAGAACTTACTGGAGATCAAAACACAAATGACGAAAATGGAAATTGATCAATCAATCAATCAATCAATCAATCAATCAATCAATCAATCAATCAATCAATCAATCAATCGATCAATCAATCAATCAATCAATCAACCAATCAATCAATCAATCAATTGACTATCACTCGTATTTATAGTATTTAAGGTTCTTATATTCTCAGTTTTGTAATCCATCTTCAGTTGACGGTTGATGCAAAGATGGACATCACCTTTCAAGCCCACTCCTAAAAAGACACTACACTATCATATTGCGCCTATGTTCTCCTAAGGAGTTTGTAAAACCACGTTAGCGTAGCTGAGAAAAGCAAAGGGGTAGAACGGTGCGTGCCCGAATAGACGAATATAGATCACCATGGGATGACCGCGAGTTGTTGTTGAAATTGAGAGATACTTAAACAACTATTCCGCGAGGTGAGATGCTTAGAACAATTGGATCGTCCATTGCCCTCAATCCCGGCGGCGAATTAACCATGAGATTGAGTGAACCCTTAATTTATGGTTATTACCATTTGAAGAGACTATGGAAAATTAAGTACTGGAAGTCCCTGTTGTAGTGGTTCAAAATTTATATACAATGGTCTGGGCTTGTTGTGGTAAGTCCAGGCAGAAAAAACACATGATCAGCATTATTGTGAACATGAGCGGATTTCGTTTTCTGCAGTAAGCACCAACCTGTTGAGACAGAATAAAACCATTCCTGAATGGAACCACGTATGAATGCAGTTATGTACTGTTTATTCGAAACTGTAACTGTAACAGTGTAAAATACACTGTACCTATTGGGTCTTCTAATCCACACTGAACCGCATTGATTGCTTGTATCAGCATACTCCTTTCTCTATTTTATAAAGATACACAAATAATGCGATCACACATGCGGTTTCTTGTGTTGTTCAATTATCTGAATGTCCATATCCATGGCACCGTGTTCGAATTGATCCCCATAGCATCTCCTATTCGTTAACTTCAACAGACGACAATGCTCCGTTTTCTGTGTTGACAACCAAAACTGGTTATCAAGATCAACTCTAATTGGTGGAAATTGCTGCCTCTCGTATTAACTGTGTTCGATCACTGATTCCCGTTGTTTTGGTCCATCATTTTTACAACAAAATCCTCATATCATAGAATAGGCTAGTACAGATGAAAGTGAATCGAAACGCCCACGCATATCACAATTTGTATTGCCTCCTCCTCCCCCCCCCCCCCCCCGCGCCCGGGAGAATCCTGATACTATGTATCCGAAATGGATTGGGACGAGTAGCCACCGTGTGAATTTGCCGACGCGTTCTCTCCATGCAACTGGATTCTGCGATGTCAGGCGAACGGACAGAGTACAGTCACCTGATTTACTCATTCCCTCAATCGCCATCCACGTAACCCCATTAACGGACCAATTTCTGCAGACTGTGATCACCCAAATACATATCGCTTGTTTTGCGCTTATTCAATGCAAGTTTGGCTGGCGCTATCAAGAAATACATGCCCTGTCTTTTAACTGAGATTCTTGTGATACGCATCGCGGGACCAGGTTCGGGTATGGTTTGGAGAGATACAACAGGAGCACTGCAAATAGTTGTGACTGCCAGTCCAAAGGGTGATCCCCCTCTTCTTCTTCTTCTTCTACACTTTTTAAATTTTCACAAATTTACACACCCGGATGCATGCATGTCACTATCGTGAAAGCTTCCCTGCATTTGATTGAGCTTTTACTTTTACCTGTGAAACACTGCGTCCCTTAAACATCTGTACAAATGTTGTGGTACATACCATGGCAGTCAGAAGGAATTTCTGTCCCTTCGCTGAACATGCAAAATTTTATGAACTGATAGTGGACAGTTGAAATCAACTCTTGTGAAAGTCAGCCAACCAAACCCGAATCGGCAGCGTTCGACCAAGGAACATTTCAATTACCCTTATCGTCGACGAGCAGATCAAAGGGTGGCAGAATATCTACGGGCGATAGGTTTGTCCCAAACATGACTGAAATAAACGATCTGTTCCGTCACACCCCGGCCATCTACCCCACCTAGCCACAGCTCAACTGATCCAGCCGGGTACTGGCAACAAGTACAAAATAAAAGAAGCAACGATTGGTGTGAAAGGTATGGGAATACAGAACCGCGTCTGTAGCTTGTTTTGAGTGTTGTCTAGCTTAAACCATATCTCAATGCAATTATACTACAGCAATAATGGAAATCATGAAGGCTAGAGAGCGGGAGAGAGATTGTAAGAGGGAAAATAGAAGACGGACCTCATAAACTGCACAGAACAAAGACAAGAAACACAGAAATTATTCGAACGGAATTCATACACTGATCAGGCTTGATGGTACATGGTGTCACGTGTGCCGTGAGTGTAAACAACTGAGTGATATCCGTGATCGTCATGAACGCCTTCCACGTCCTCAATCTGGTCTGAAATTGCACGTTCCGAACTGCGCGCGCGTGGCTGTGTGTGTACAGCCCGCACAGAATGATTACTACCGGCCACCTGTGGGTAGACAAATAGAGCAAGTTGATTTCCCGCTCTTTTACCGACCCACNCCCGCACTGATCCAACCAAACGCGAATGTGATGAACTTTTATCAGCCTTCTGTTTGCTTTTGTCGGAAACAGGAAACGCAGTAAGAAAACGCGTACAAAGGTATTGCGAACAGACAGTACTTATCCATGATGAGAAACAAATGGAGTCGCGTGGTAGAGGAGGATGAAGTGTCACGGTGAAGAGGTAAACATCTAACTCTAGGACATCTAACACATCATCTGGGCTGCAAACAAAAAATTCACGATTGAAAAGAGTTGAGGTTTGAGTCAGTCGGTTGGTTAGTGAGAGAAATCCACAAACGGTTGTGTGTGTGTGTGTGTGTATGTGTGTGTGTGTGTGTGTGCAATCATGAGTCGACGGATCCGACGAAGGGAGAACGAGGTAACACACGATCGAACGTGATAACTGTACAATGTATACGTTTACACAATATTGATTTGAAATGTAGAGTAACTGGAATTGACGAGACGGAACAAGATCGATCTCGCGGGGACTGAGTAAATCTCATCGGGGTGGAGGGGGGTGGTGGTGATGGTGAATACAGACTAAAATACTCGTGTGTGTGGATGTTGAATGAGTGACCGGACTGTGGATACGCATTCGCGTACGGAAGAAAGATGAAAACGAAAAAATAGCTAACAACAAAAAGCCAACTTGAATCCAGAGACTGAGAGATATGATAAACGAAAACAAAGAAACAAAAAAGAAACCAGAAATTAAAAAACAAAACAAAAACAAACAAACAAACGATTTCAGAGAAAACAGAAAGAATCAGAACGAATAAACATCATCTGACGAAGCCTGATCACATGCACGCATTGAAATATCATCATTGGCAGATTTTTGCGTGTGTGCGCAGCAGTATAGGACAAACTGAAACCGTATTTAAAAACGTGGGGAAAACCGAAATAGCACGCACCCCAAAGGACGAGTGAGGTTACAAAAAACAAATGTTCACACCTGGGGACCCAGGAGTTGGGCGCACCTTGTCAATGTATTTCAGTCTATAGTGTGTCGTAAAGAGGTATACGACGATTTGAGTAGTTAACACACACACACACACAGGGGCACAACACGATCAGGAATAGATGAGCATTGAAGTAGCCGAAAATGCAGAGACGAGTAACGAATATTGATAGAGAGTGAGCGAGCGCGAGAGCGAATGAATGATAGTGGAACTAATTGGAACCTGGCAGTTTCTGGGAATACTTTTGGAATTACTATTGTACGAAAATTTTAGCTGGCTTCCGTTGCGTCTGTATTCTGTTCAACCGATGGTGATTCAGAAATTGTGGGCTCCCCGGGTACCGCTGCATCGTCTCTAACAATCTCATCCGATTCCGCAGAGATGGATGCATTCGGATCAGACGAGTTTTCTGTTTGATGATCTGTAGAAACCGGAATGGGAACAGAAATATAATCCAGTTAACTCCGTTCAAAAATACTTCTCGTGTCTTTTTTTTTGGTTGTCTAGAAAACTACAGAAAAGATACGGCTACAAGCAAAAAGACATGTTACAGTTCAAACAGCAATCAATCATATACCATGATACTTGTTCCGTTCCCTGAATTTTACAAATTCCATTCGAACAAACCAACGAAAGACACGACCAATATCTTATGGAAACCACTTGAACAATACACTTTCTCAATGTCGAGTAGAACTCAATCCGGACTCGGTAGATGGGATTATGGGTTACAAATGATATCGATCGGCGTGCTTTAGTGGAATGGAAAATGACTAGGAATTCACAGCTTAGTAAATATAGTTGATCTGCCGGTTTATACCTCTTAGGCACCGGTAAAACATCACTTACTTGAATCCGTCGATTCATGTGACGGGGTCGCTTCTGATCCATGAACTTCATCGCTGGGCTGCTGTTCTTGCTGCTCTTCATCAGGAGCAGCCTGTTCAACAGAAGTTTCTACCGCGGCTTCCTGTGTTTCGGGCATTGCTTGACTGTCTTGTTCCTGTTTTTCTAGTGGCTGCTCAATCTGAGCTGTTTCTTCCGTCTGTACACTCTCTCCAACCGATGCTTCGTCTGCATTTGATTCATCCTGCGGAACTGATTGCTTCATGCTCTCCTCACAAATTTGTTGATCAGCTACAGAATCGGCTTGTGTTTCTACAGACTGACAGGCAGCCTCTCCATCTGTTTCCTCTCCTGCTTTAGTAATGGCTTCATCTACCAGTGTTTCTGAAAGGTCTTGTTCTGACTGTTTGCTTAAGTCCTCTTTTTCATCTGTTACTTTCAACTGTTCTTCTCCAGTTGGTGTGTCAACTTGTGCAATTAATTCCTCTATAGGTGTTCCATTTCCGGTCGGCGTTTTCTCGTCACTGCATTCTTCCGACTGCTCTGTTGGTTCGGGCAAGCTGATGGGTCTAGACGTTTCTTCTGATTCACCAGAGACCCCGGGCACCGGGCCAGGAGGTGGTGACTGCCTGGATTCACGTACAATGACCGTGGCATTACTGGTCTCCTCATCCTCTTCCTCTTCTTCGTCATCCTCCCCCTCTTCCGGTTCACCATCGTTTCCCTCATTCGTTGCCGCATCTAAAACCGCGATAGCCATAGCCGCAGCAACAGCATCTGCTTCCATCTCACTTGCTCCAGTCTCTTCCTCGATGACTTCGTCTAAACCAGCAGAGAGTACGAGATGTGAATGCGTCAATGGACTCGATCTACCCTGGTACGAATCAATCAGGGCGGCTTCAGGTGGTGGAGATGGGAATGGCTCAATATCTTCACTGCCTTCACTAGCGGACGTGGTTGAACTCGTGGGTGACGGTTCTCGACTGGGATGAGCTGGTTTGATAGTGTCGATGCTCGCATCCTCAGACGTGTGAGTCTCGTCTCCTCCAGACGTGGTCACCGAGCCGTCTGTTAGTGCACCACCCGCCCCATGTTCGGCATCATCTCCGGTCAATTCTGGACCAAGATTCTTTGGCAAAGCTCTATCGGTTGTCTTACTCTTGGTTACTGTTCCACCTGAACTGTCAGACAATCGCCCCAAACCATCTGGTAGTATGCCAAATATCCGAGTCCCACTGTACTCGGAATCTTCGTCCGCATTCTCCCCGGTCGATTCGTCCGGCAAATCGGTCAGCCTATTGAACGAAGATCGAATCTATAAGGTAAACAGAAAAAGGCGTTAAAAAGTCGTGAGGAATCGCAAAAGGTTGATAGCGGATAACGAATTCCTCTATACAGGTCGGTAAAGAAAATCTTGGAATTCGGTTTGCCTAAAAATAAAATTGCGTTTGCCATTTCATAGGCTACCCACTCACAAAAGTAGTAGTATATAAATAATACTGAACTGGGAATCTGGAGATTTATGGAGGAAAATAAATACAGAGAAGAAATTTGGCAGCACGGTGAGAGTTCGAGGACCGCAATCACATGTTACGGCCACTACTGGATCATCTATCTCCGATAGGCTAAGTGCATTTGCAATCTACTGTGAAGCGGGATCAGGCACTGTTCAGGTCAGATCAGGTATTGGATGATGGAAAAGGCTTTCGCCAACCAAGTGTCCAGATTCTCATTTCCGTTGGAAGGTTCCTTCTCCCAAAGCTCCTAGCTCGTTGCAGTCGCTGTCTTGCAACTGTTTCAAGCATGAAAATGGTCCTCGTACGGTATATGTAAAATAGATTTGTTGAGAAACAAGAAGCATGCCAACTCTAAGCAACCTCAGACCCCACTTCTATACTACCTCTGGCTATAGTTGGGTCCAAACCGTATCCGACTTCATCTTGAAGTAGACTGTAGTCGCACATCCCATCAGGTGCGGTGGCAGCTGATTCGGTCTATCAATCACTCGGTTCGTGTAGACGTTAAAACGTACACCGAAGCGAGTGTTTGATTTTAAGAGCTTTAGAATGTGCCCCCTGGTGGCTTCTACCGGCGTTCGAGTGAACAAACTTTCGGGGCGGTCAATTCTTTCATTATCTTAAAACTTTCCATGAGGTCCCCCTGAGGCGTCTTTTTTCCATAGAAAAGAGGTCTAACACATCCAGTCTTTCTTCCTATGACTTGCCCCTCATGCCCGAGACCATCCGGGTGGATAACCTTTAAACCCTCTCGATGCATTGGATGTCTTTCTGAAGGTAGGGTGCCCAGGCCTGGACACAGTATTCTAAGTGGGATCTCACCAGTGCCTTATACAGTGGGATAAAGAATTCTGCCTCTCGAAAGGTCAGTGTATTTCCCAACTGGAATAGTTGTCCCCTCGCCCTTTGTGATGCAGCCTCACACTGTTCGAGTGGCTTGTCGTTTTCGGAGACTATTACTCCTAAGTCCTTCGTTTGGGCCACATACGTTAATTCGGTGGTTTCCGCCTCGGTGCTTACTCTATTTGGACCTCCATCGGTGTTCAGTATGTGGCACTGACGGGTTTAGGTCTAGGTTCCACATCTGAGTCCAAGAGATAACCTTTGTTAGGTCTTCCTGTAGTTGGTTGGCAAATACGAAGGTCGGGATGGAAAAATCTCTAACTAGGTCATCAGCGTAGAGCAGGAAACGTATCGGGCCTAGAAAAGAGCCCTATAGCTCTCCATTTGTGATTTTACCCTCTGTCGATAGTGCCTCTTCTACGGAGCCCTGAAGGTCCGCCTGTTCAGAAAACCCCTTATCCATTTAATAAGAGTCCCAGGAAGGCCAAAGCGTTTGAGCTATTTTAGTTGTAATCGGTGATTAATCGAGTGGAAAGTCTCTCTAAAGTCCAAGTAACACACTTCAACCTTTTGGCCTTCATTAAACTTCCTCGTGACTTCATCTAAGAAGCACAACAGGTTGCTGAGACATCATCTCTCTTTGATGAACCCATGCTTGGTTGAGGATAGCAGGCTGTAACGCGCAACCTATTCCGTTTGTAACTATCGTCTGAAGTCCTTTGCAAAGGATACTAGTTAGATTAACCGGTTTGTAGTTTCCTGACGCCTTTCGGTCAATCCCTTCTGTATCGCCACAACTGTAGCGATCTTCCAATCTTTCGGTATCTTTCTGAGTCTTAGGGATTCTTCGTGGATTGCACACACGGGCACCGCTAGAAACTCTGCGAGCGGCTTGATCATAGCCGGATGTAGTCCATCACTCCTCGCTGACTTCCTAGGTTTTAACTCCCTGAATATCTTTAGAATTTGAGTTCCATCTACCTGTAGATCGCTCATTTGAGGAGCTCGTACCCGTAGCACATTTGAGGGGTAGCTGCACCCATCATCGACCTTATAGACGCTTTCAAAAGACTACTAGAGAATTTCGCACTTCTCGTCCTCCGGTGACATTTCTTCCCCTGCATGTTTTCGTAGGACCCCAACCGATTGCCTTGGGGCAGCCTTCGATTAGACATAGGCGTAAAATCTTCTGGGATTGGTTTTAGATTGCTAAGCTATCCTCAGTTCATTTTTCATTTTAGTTTGTTTTATAAGCTTGTTTGCGCCATTCCGGGTCACTTTGTAGACCAACCACCAGTGCTGCTGCTGAGGGACGATGAGGTGATCAATGATACATCTTGGAGACAACCATACATTGGTCAGAATAACTGTTATATTCTAGGAATCTGGTTGCCAGTTCATCTCACTTATTTCCAACACTGCAGACGTCTGTATACCACGTTTTCAAACTTCTTTGTTACAGTGCTGGGGTGTCCGTGTTTAGGTCATTTTCTTTACGGGGTCCCTCGGGCGAAGCACCCGAGACTGACAGCCGACTGACAGAGCCGATGCATCAGTTACATAACCGCGTCAAATGCCAATCTTGGTCTGGTGGATAGAAGTATGCTTACGTGTTGCTTGTATTTCAAACTCGTGACTGCACTTTCGTTTTGTTCTTGGGTTTTGCTTTAATTTGTCCAACCGGACCCTTGAACAGTAAACTGTTTGTCTAGCACAAAACACTCAGGATAGCTTATATCATCATGTCAACTATAGTCTACTATTTTGGGACAAAGATGTTTGTTTCTCCGACTAGAACGATAGCTTCAGCTGTGGCCATGGTTGACATAAATCCTGTTTTCGAATTCGGTATTGTCACTGACGAATCCGTCTAGCCCGGTGGATTAGTTTACTCACAGACATCCTATCCGCACGTAATTTGTTCGGGAAAATCTGACTCATTACCGGTAAATTCTGATGGATGTCATGTTTTTCTTTCAGTCCGCATCTGTATGACGGAACAGCATTTTCGCTTGTTCGCTTCGAATGTATCATTGTCTTACAATTAGGCTCCCGTTTACTTAGTCCAACCGAACTGACTACCGTGGTAAACACGCTGGGAAACAAAAATGGCGAGCGGAGAAGACGGTATTTCCACAATAATTCGACGGGTTAGAGCCTAGATAATACGCGATGCGCCTCGATAAATTATTTACTTCCATTCAGAGTCGGAACGGGTCTACCAGAATGCGACCACCACTATTCGTTTTTTCCATTCTCTAAGATAGCGATACAACAAAATGTGGTTGCCGAACCGAACCGCGTTATAGTTGTTACGGTTAGTGATACTCGTTTCGACCGAGGGGGCCTGCGTCACGAACAAATATTTACGCTGCATAAATTTTCCGAAAATCTTTACCAATTCCCACTAGTGAGAAATGGCCTGCTTCGTCGATTTACGTGCAGCTCTGTGGATCCAACTGCCTACGGAATAGTCCTAAGATTAACAAAACTTTTAAGAGCAATTGAGTGTAGCTAGAGATCAACAGAATTTATCACAAAAACAAACCTGTCGAGAAGATTTGTAGTGTCTCTCAATTGCATGAACGACGTCACATTTAACGACTATTGTGGAGCACAGTTGTTCTATAGTGCGGATTGAGGGTCTATAGAACTCACAGATGACTTCATCGTCCAATCGACAACTGAGATTGTTGACAAATGCATAGAAAGGAAACGAACATTAGAATTTTCCATTGTGATTAGATAGCTTTGCCGGTCGGTAGCACATTTAGGTTCTGTTATGCCACCCAATTGTTATTTTTTACTCCGTTACCTACTATGAGGTCGCAAGCACCGTATCGCAGGAGAACACCACAAGTGCAAAAACACAAGATATAGCACAGTAACAATAGTAGCACACGCGAAACGAGAACAGCGGACTAACACTAAGTCAGTGAGCGGATGATGGTTCTAGGAGAGGAAGCTACCTAGGTGAAACACAGGAGGCACGTTCAACTATCGATCTCTCAGGCCTCCCAAACACGCGAGAGAAAAGACACGGCTTCAGCAGCACGGGATTTTAATGGCGTTGAGCACAAATCACAAGTCACGAGTCAATTTACAAGTTTTACTCTGCTGCTTATATGTGACAGAAAATAACATTGATCAATGCAAGGAAACGAATGTACCAATGAAATACACAGTGAGCGATGTTCAACCTGCCATAGGCTTCGGATCGGACGGACGGAGAGTGATTATTGCCGTATGACGCAATATTATTGATTTATCTCCGCGAGATTAGTATTGATCTGCGATGACCCTAATATGGATCGAATATGTTGTAAAATTGTTTGATTTTGTTCACAGAATTAGCAAGTCTGCAACCGGGCTTATCGTGGAACGAATGGCATTGATCTTCATCCCAACAGGATTTTTCTAAAGATACGTAGGGTACTGTCCAGCGAGACTAATCTGGGTATCAAAGCATGACTCTCTCGAGGTGCCGTACGTCCTGTTCTCAGATGAGGCTATAAAATCTAGCCATGACGCTCTGACACCTATGGTGCTTTCAGTACATACACGTGTTTCTAAAGAAAATGTTGGATGGCGATATGATGAACTCGATAGATGACCCTTTTTTCTGCTGCAACGCCGTTTTTAGCGGGTTAGCTCAATTCTCCGACGACTCGCTAACACTATTCCAAATAAAATGTCCGTGGCCAAAATCATCTGGTTGCAGTTTGATGATGTGCCCCGTGTGGATTGATCGCTGGAGATTTGGGGGTTAACACGATCCACAATGTGGACTAATTTGACCTTCGAATTGCTGATGATGACATTCAGGAATGAAACAGGCATCCCAATCGGTATGAACCTTGATTGGAGCAGACACACGTGAACGTCAGCGATCTGGGATATTCAAGTAGTCCAATTATCCTCCCCTCGCCTCAAAGCACACACGGTTCATTCGTTGATAACTGCCACCGCAAAGCGTACGCCGAAGATCAATTGTTTATTTCAGAATTCCACAGTGGTTTATTTGATCAGAACTTCAGAGGCACTCAAGTTCACAAATTTCGCGGTCTTTGGAGCTCCCCATTTAGCTAACAACGGTTCCAAAAGCTGACAGCATGACAATAGGTTCTCTTACCTAAGAAGAACATGTGTCTTGTTTTTGAACCCATCTGCGTTGCCGGTCATATTGTACGTGTAAAATACACATCAGGACTGCCAATCTAACGATGCACTCTTCCAGATTTTAGATGGAATCCCAATTCATCTCCCATATACACCTAGAGTTTGCGTTGGGCATTCCGTTGATCATTCATTTTCAATCCAGCTGCCTAGCCACTACCGTCCAATCGGCCGTCCATCGTATACGCCCCCTCACAATACACCGTACGTATTTGAAGCACAACAATGAGAGCCTAAAATGACTTCGGGAACAATGAAATCTAATCTGTTCCATCCGACTGTCCGACAAAATGTGTTGTCCTTGGTTAGTTGATGAGATGCGACAAACGAATCTGTTTATCAGACTTGTACCCTCCGAATAGTATATGTGTCGGTATCAAGTAAATAATGGCAAAGAGCTGCGAACATTGTTCCCTAGAGCATTTCCTGCCAATCAATTACAGTTTGTTGCATGAAAATCACCTCTCGCAATGAAATATAAATTGCAACGCTGAGAAGCATCTCTATGTGGCTGGAACAATAATAGGTTTACTCCTTGGTCCCGTCACGTTCAAATGTTTTTATGTTAAATTTGGAAAATCACGAATCATTCCATAAAGTACCGCAAGTGGAACATCCTGAGCACGACAACAATGAACATCACCACCATCTCCGACCGCTTCAGAAGTCCAATCAGACACACACACACAATGCCAATCATTTCACTTTGGATCTGACGAATGAAGGACACATACCATTGCCCAAAGTGTTGAGTTTGAGGAAAATAACCGACTGGACAAGGGAAAGAAAGATCGAATTGAACGTGGATGGAACAGTGGTAAGACTTCTTCAGTGCAGGGACCTGTCAATCTTACGTATAACTTATTATCTAGGATGGTACAGTTAACCAGCATTGTCTATTCCCGGACAAAATGAAGCAGTTTGAGATATTGCGTAATCTTTCCAAGTCTGGCTATCTCAACAAATTATCTAAACAATTTGTCACACCAAAGCCTAAGAAACTGGAGATCCGCAAAGTCCTTAGTAGAAAAATTGTCTCCACTTAGCCCTTATTCTGAACGAGTATGAGAGCTGCCGATTTTGATTTATTTAAGGGCTTGTGAATCCCAATAATGTACCGTTTGAGTTACTTTTGGGATTTTTACTTCTATGAGTATTGCATGTTATACAGAAACACTGAAGCTGTAAGAAATGTGCAAAGGTGAATTCGTCGTGTATATAGCAAATGAAGCGTGAACTGAAAAGCCAGGAAGCACTGGACAGCTGTTTCGACCTGGTTCCGTGTCATCTGCAGTGCGAATCCATCGACCCAACTGGGGACCGAACCGGGGACCTCATGGGCAGAACGCAAGCATGCTACCCACTCAGCCACCGGGCAGCTGATCAGATCGTTTTTCATTTTCAATTTACCCGATATAGCTTAACCCATCTTTGCGAGCTTGTTGCGGGCCAAAGACGCTCCTCATCTCAGCACTGGCCTCCGGGTTATGACTCGGTTGGAAACATTCACAACCTGACTACTTATTTCAAGTGAGCAATGAAGGATTTGGTTAAATTGCAAACAGCTGTCCAGTGCTTTGTAGCTTTTCAGTTCACGCTTCATTTGCTATATACAGGACGAATTTACCTTTGCAATTTAAGCAAATCCTCCATTACTCACCTCTAAGAGATGTGTTAAATGGTTCGACGAGACGGGCACATCGGTTAAACCTTCTTAAGTCAACATCTGTTGCAGAGTGCAACCTCCTTTGTACGCGCAAGCTCTACCAGCTGAGCTACGAGGCCACACCGATAGCACTGATCTCTTCACATTCCAATTTACCCATCCAACTTACAGAGGCATGTGGCATCCACCAGTTCGCATGTAACCTGACTGCCCCGACAGGTTTTCCTTCGAATTCTTCGGACTCGACCGAATGAGCTTCTAAGACAAGGTGAATTGTTCAAATTGTTGTTTGGCAGATTTGAAGTTTGTATGTCGACTGTGAAAAGTTCAGTAGCCTCCGTGGGATTCGAACCCACGCATGGACGCCGCCTACACTTTGTACGCGCAAGCTCTATCAGATGAGAGATGCGGCCACATGCCTCTGTAAGTGAGATGGGTAAATTCGAATGTGAAAAGATCAGTGCTATCGGTGTGGTCTCGTAGCTCAGTTGGTAGGGCATGCGCGTACAAAGCGTAGGCGGCGTCCATGCGTGGGTTCGAACCCCACCGAGGCTCCTGAACTTCTTACAATCGACAAACAGATTTCATGATTGACATCAATTAGTCGATCACGTGATGTAAGATCCGATGCCGCGTGGTGAGGCGGGGGGGGGGGTGATTAAATGCGATTCACGTGCGCACAACCACATAGTAGGCGTTTCTTATTGAACCGATAGGAATTACGGTGAGGCAGAAGGGACTGGAGTAAGATTACTAGTAGCACATACGTCTACGGAAAAACTAAGAGAAAACTAAGTGTAAAATAGACGACGAAATGTGCTCTACGATATCGTTGAAACTACCGCTACTGGCTTCAATGAACTCGTGTGTCAATACCAGGGACATTCTATTATGGCCACAAGTTGAAGGGCGAATATGGACAAACAAACCTAAACCATATGTCGTTTGCGCCTACCCTTTTGCAATGCACGTCCCATATGGTGTCACTAATCTGCCCCAGATAAGAGATGTGTGATGTACCTTTCAACAGTCATGCATATTCTCAAAACTGCATTGGATCAAAGAGACCAGATTTTTATCAGAGAAGGGATATGATCGCATTTTATGGGACGAGAGAAAACCAGGCTCCTGAAATATCATGCACCAAGCGAAAAGTCGTTGTTTAATGGGAATGTTTACATTAAAACAAACATTTTAGTCTGTTCTGAATCGGGATCAGTTTGGATGACACAAACACGGAAATTGACTACGACAATGGAGCGGAATGACTGGTGATGAACCAAAAGGGCTGTTTTCCTGTTATGCCACGCAGATACACGTATGGTAATCCAATATCAGTGGTACCGTGGTAGTAGCCTTGACGTACTCATATTTCCAGTGTTCAGAGATGAGGTTCTCCTTCAGATTTACAACACCAAACAAACATTCTTCTTGATAAGAGAGACGCAATGCATGCACATACATTGCCTCAGTATGGTCGGCGGTGGGTGTCTAGGGTTGCGGCTGGTCACCCTGCCCTTGCACCTCGTGAAATGCTCCCGTACGACCATGCGTCTCGAGAAGCCTCTGCCGAAGAAACCTTACTCACTGATTTCTCGAGGCGGAGGTGTTTCCCAACCAAAGTGAGAGGACGAAAAGCCGACACCCAAGGCTATAACCGGGTTGGTAGACCACTGGTAGTTCACCTAGGGGAGTTGGCCAAAAACCATGATCCCAAACCAACCATGGGGAGGTGTACGAACCACATCACATCTTTTCGGTCGTGGTAATGGTCATCGGTTCCATTGGGCATTGAGCTGTGTTGGGCACCTTGGACGTCTGACCCCGTCCGAAGGGCGTATGATCCGATGA